GACGGCTTTGGAGGTCTTGGTTGGGGGGTTCCCTGCAAGGAAGTGTGCTACAGCGCTACCCCGGGTTGTGGTTCCACACTTCATGGGGCAGCCGTGTTGCTCTCTTCATCTTGCTCGGCTGTCGTGGTTGCGATCATAAAAAACAGCCCTCAAACTGTTCTGCTGCACTTGTGGGGGAGCACCCAGGATTGTTTGTTCCGCGACAAGGATTGGCAGCATACTGTAGAGAGTTCCCCCAGACTAGCAAATGAACAGCCTGTTTTCAACAATCATGGAAGCGGACACTTGCATGATTGAAGGTATCTATCGCCCTGAAAAAAGACAATTGTCCTCTAAAAGGACCCCTCTGGTGGGTTCCATGTTTGTGGACGAGGGGGTGCATGGCCAAACCAAACTGCAATGTGTGTGTGTGTGCTTGCTTGCTTGTACCTGGCTACCCCTTTACAGCTTGTTTTAATGGAAAGCTAAAAGGACCACCCGCCTTTGGTTTTGGTGGGGGCTCCGCTAATCTGACAACCCATGTCCTCGCCTTGATCATGGCCTCCACCACCACGTCCGCGGACCCGCCCTGCACCGGCGCATTGATGGCTTGACGCTTCGCCGAGATGTACTCCCAATACCTCGCGCAACCAAGGGGAGGGGTGCAAAAGACATCAACACTTTGCCTAAGGTAGCATGCAGGCTGAGGTGCTTTTTTTTTTGGCGTAGCTCTAGCATTAATAGCCCTGGCACAGCCTGGCGCGCACGAAAAAGAACGGCATTTCAGTCTACAATTCCGGGTGGGCGAAGGATAGGCTTCAGGTAGGTTCGGGAAGGTTTGTGGTAAGCTTAGGCTCGGTTGAGAAGTTGAAGGCAGGCTTCGGGTAGGATTAGGGTCGGTTTGGCCTTGGTTTAGGTAGGTTTCAGGGATAGGGTGGGTTTCAGGGTGAGCGGGTTGGTGCAATAGGTTTAGGGTCCATTTCAGTTACGTTCAAGGGGTGTCGAAGTTTAGGGTCGGTTCAAAGTTGGCTTGCGGTGGGTTTAGGGCAGGTGTTGGCAAGGCAGCAAACCGGCCCTATAAAGCACAAATCAAGACTCAAGGCTTGCGGTGGGTTTCGGGTAAGTTTGGGGTAGGTTTGGGATAGGTTTAGGTTCCGTTTAGGGTAGGTTCAGGCCCGGCATCGTCTTAAAATCCTCAGTATCGTTTTCAACATCCTCAGCATCACCAGGCTGCTGAGAGCAAGTTTTGGCGTGGCCGCGCTTGAGGTAGGGGTTGGTCTAGGGTGGGTTAAGGGCTGGTTTGGGGTGGGTCTAGAGTTGGCTTCGGCTGTGTGTTTCAGCATTGGCCCCTTCGTGCTTGGTTCACTTGACGGGTTTTTATCATGGCACCACCTAGGCCATGAAAAAGCTCAGCAAATGAGTCCAAGTTTGCAACGAGCTATGCCCAACATTTGGCTGTCGATTCTGTGAAACTCTGGAGCTCATCGTTGAGTCTAGCAAGTCCCCTAGCAGTCAGCCAAGAAGGAAACAAAGGGCTTGAAATGGTCTTGCTGATCTGTAGCACATTGTGCAGCCAAACCGCCCATCGTCGTGGCGGAAAAAGTTGTTCTTGTTCTGGAGTCTCCTGGAAATGCAGAACCCGAGTCAAATGTGAGGGGGACCCCGAACATGGTGGCATTTTCTTGGGTTTCCATGGGAACCAAGGTGAACATGGAACCCTCAAACAACACACACACACGAAATGGACTCATCGACTCAAACAAATGCGTCCGAAAGACCCGTGTCAGACCTGCCCTAAACCCAAACATAAATCTGCCATATGGTGTGTTTCGTGTCATCCAGAGGTAATTTGGAGGCTTCGACCCCGGCCTGCTCGAACAGGCTTGCTGTCCAGACCCTGGCAGCTTGAATTTAGTTACCTGGAAAGAGCAAACAAAAAACTGATAACCTGATCAGCTCGATCGCTGAATTCAAAAGGCTTGGACCAATCCTGTTGAAGAGTGTATGCCTCGTGGCATCGGAAATTTGCTGGCTGCGGTATTTGGGGCTTCCCTGCTGTTCTTAGGAATGAAACGCCAATGCTTCGTCCCGCGACGTGTCCTGACCCCCTCGAAAAAGGCCCAAGGGGAGTTGTTTGCCATCGTCCCCACTCAGGCAACGCCCTCTGCCTGGGAGCTATCTCCCAGCCAGCAAAACGCATCAAGGGCCACCGCACGACAGTTGTTTGGCAAGCACTGGGGGGGTTGGGCAAGTTGATTTCACCGAAAGGAGGGACTGGGGCACTTCCTCATCCTGGCGCACAACGCCCTCACCCTGCCCGGCACTTGAAACCACTCACCGCACTTTGGAAGCACCGCCGTTGTATGGGCAACAATGAATCTTATCTGGCAACCTCTCCAAACATGTTAGTGGCCATACATCCCACACACATGATGTCCACCAAGTATCCCAAGTAAAAAGCTACGCGTAGGTTCCGTCAGGCCAAACTCCCGAGGCACGTGTGATGCAAACGCAGCATGGA